TGTAAAATAAATGCGTATTGATAGCCTTGTTCCAAAACAATATTCCATGCAAAATTCGATACATAAATCGTTAATTTTATATTAAAAAATCAATTCAACATAAACATCATAATCAGAAAAAAGGGATAATATAGATAATCTAAAATTCGATATATTTGATGTATAACATTTATTTATATCAAAGTTAATCATTTTTTCGATATGGTAATAAGCATAATATATATATATATATATATATTTATATATATCATATTGGACTTTTCTGTCGATATTTATCTTAATCTTTTTTTCACATTTGAGAAGTTTCCTGGCGCATACATAAGATATAACGTTTCAAATATATTTATTATTATATATATTATTATTTATTTTTATATATATTTTTATATTATATTTATATAATATTTCAAATAACAAAACATAAACAAAACTAGCTATAGATACTTTAAGATTGCTTTACAAACGTTTACTTTATTATTTATTAATATATTTTACACATTGGATGGCCTAATGGTTAAGGAAAGTTAAGAGTATATATTTACATATTTTAGTAAACCAACAAAAATACGAATTGTGAGTTTGATTCTTTAAACCTTTAAAAAATATGAAAAATTTCCTTTTTAATTTTCCTTGAAATTTATTCATTTTTTCGAAGTGTAAAAATCTTAATGTGTGAGTGGCTTTGCGCAGATTCAGAACTTTTTGCTGTCTGTCATTGTCTCTGGGCATGGCCTTGTCTAATTATGTATTTATCTTAATTCCATAAAAATACTTGCCAGTTTGATAAAATATATATACTATATATGTATATATGGAAACTATATAAAAACCTAATATAATTCCGAAAAATATGCTTGGGTATATCTATATATATTTATTTATTTATTTGTACACTATACATATGCTTAATTATAAATAACTATAGTTAACCTTCTGCAATTATGTTACAACTTAAAATAAATTAGATTCGAACCATTTAAAGCGTTATAAATTCCTGTAACTACCATTAAAAGCTATATGCTCATAAAGCCAAATTGAGACGAAAGCCCGCATTAAGCCAAGGCCAAGAGCTATATCTGTACCTTTAGCTGGCTCAAAATAAATATATTGCCTCATCTGGGCAGGACGAGCAGGACGAGCAGGAGCAGAAGGAGCAGAAGGAGCAGAAGGAGCAGAAGGAGCAGCAGGAGAAGGGCAAACCCAGCCAGCGGACCAGTGAGCAGCTTAGGGAGAATTTTTGGCCCAATGGAAATAGATACATTTTGGTTTAAAATGCTGCTAGGAATAGCCAGGAATAGACCTGGCCAACACCAGCTACCAACCTTCAATACCCCCTCTTTAAATATATATATTTAGGCCGCCCCTCTTAATTAAGGCTCCCAAAACTGGTTGGGTTATTGAGCCCCATTTAAGCCATCAATTGCCATTTGGTGGGCCAAATGAATTTACGATTACAGGAAGGCACCGACCGAGGATGGCTTCTTCCTGTGTATGTTTCCTGGACTTGGCAGAAACTGAAATTGATTTCCACCAGAGCAAAAAAAAACCCCACTCTTGATTGTTCTGGAGGATAATTGGTTAAGTTTCTTGTAGAGCTTCGTAAAGGTTCAGACTTCCAAAGGGATTGTAAATAACAAATTTCATGGTCTGGCTTCCTCTTAGAGTTTAACATTCATTTAGAGGAGGGATTCCACTGGGAGGATTCATTTGAATTGATTGATTGCCTTGGTAAGCAAATTGTTCAATTTATGGTAATTGTTCACTTAGTACAAATAGGTAGGAATTTTGTAAATCCTTTAATGAGAGGATATTTTATAGTTTTTTCTTAGAAAATGAAACTTTCCTGGAAACCTGACCACATCCAAATGTTAATTACTTTACCAACTACTGTAATGGTTGCAATTTAATTAGAAAATTTCAGGAAACAGAATTTAGGTCTCAATTCATGGGATAATTCAATTAGCAAACGCTTTTCCATCCATATATAGTATTTGGTGAAAATGTGAAAGCAGCAGCTGATGTTGAAAATTTTTTACTGTCGCCGGGAGCCTTGAAGATTTTTTGCTTTTACAGCTTTCACCTTTTTGCTTGTACGGAGATGGAGGTGGCTTGTGTTGACCTACAGTATCTCCCAGTGGGATAATCCCTGGACTAGGACCAGGACCAAAAGAAAAACCGTGACTAAAAGGCCGCCAAGGTCATCGTGGAGGTGACTCGCCTTCTTCCTTTCACTCCAGTTCTTGGTACAGGCTGTGATCCTGCTCCTGGTTTTCCTTTCACATCCCGATGCTATTGATGATCCCAAAGGGTTTCAAACTTCATTTCGTGGCCATGGCCAAAGGTTATTGATGCATTGAGAGAAATGTATGAAAAACTTACTAAACATTTCTGTTAGTTACCTTTAAAGGAATGTTAAGAAAAGTTGAATTTATAATTAAAAGTCAGCTACTTAAAGGCTTAAGTTCTATGACTTTTCAACTTAATTACTAGTTTCTTTACATTTCCTCTCCGTGTACGTACTGGCTCAAAGAGAGAGGCAACAATTATCTGTGTGTTTTATATTATTTACTCTCCTTTGGCAGCGTCAACACAGGGGCCAAGTAAACAAATAAATAAACAAATCAGCAAAAAGCAAATAGCAAATGGCAAATGGCAATTCTCAACACAGAGAGAGAGAGTGGGGAAAACTTTCCGTCATCGTCATCGCACTTTTCCTCCCCTCAGCCAGCAGATATTTGCATTTCCCGGCTCTCGGCTCTCCGTTGGCGTCTGTGTCAGCGAAAATGAAGTTATTAAAAGTTGGGCCCTGGCCCCAATAGCAAAACTTCCCAACTGGCAACCCCCAGCTGCTGTCATTTAAATGCTAATTACATGCGAATATGTATGGAGGAATAACAAAAAAAAAAGAAGAAACTGAAATAATAAAAAAACGAGAGCAAAACTAACAACAAGCGTCAGTTGCGAAATGAAAATGGTGCAACAAAAGAGCAGCAATTAAAACGGGGCGACCTTTTGCCATGCCAGGACCACCCTCTGTCCCATCCATTGTCCAGCCCACCCACCCAGCCACCCATCCACCCCGCCAAGGACACGTCCTGGCGACAACGCGGTCGGCGTTCCAGACACCCAGCACTTTGTTGCCGCCACATCATCCGCAGCCGCAGCCATAACCACAGCCATCGCCACGCCATCATACACACCATTGTCCATCACAACACTGACAGAAAAAAGTTGCATGTGTATATAATTTAAATTTAAAAAATGTATGTATTATATGGAGAAAGATTGACTGAATCCCTGAGATATGTTAAAAAGTTTCCCTTAATTCTGATCAAATTAAAGTTTTTATTATGCTCATTTAATACAATTCAATCAAATATTTAAATTTCAAAACTTGTTGCATACATACCTACTGCCACACTGCATCAAAGGACTAATTCATTTTCTAGGAAGCAGAAAACGGCCACACCCATATGCTGCAATAATAAATAGATAAAAAACATTAGCAATTTTTGTATTTAAATATGCTTTTGATTTCAAAAATTACTTCAGAATAATAATTAAATTTGAAATGAATTGAGTTTATCAATTTGAAATGAATTGAGTTTATCAGGCGTTCGAACAAAATCATTAATTTCTTTATTAAAATATGTGTTTTGATTAGATTTCAGTCCATTTTTCAGGCTTTAGACTAAATTAAAAACTATTTCATAAACGTTTTGTTATAAAAAAAATGAAAATAGTTGAACCGCTACAAATTTCAAAGCATTTAAGGACTAGTTTAGGAAACGTGCACACTGGTTAGCTGTAAAAATAGGATGCATTAAATCAAGCTGAAATTTAATTTAGAAAAATTGAAGGAAATTATTAACACTTGCTGTATTATAATTATTTATAAGATTAAAAATTAATACTATTTTATTTGCTGTGCATAAAAAGCAAGTTAGCAGGAGCATAATGAACTCGCCACAGTCGGCGACATGGCCATCAAGCTGCCAGTGGGAAGTACTGGCACGGGGGAAACCCTAAAACCAATATCAATTCCAAAATCGATTTAATAGCGAAAAGATTACATTTTTTACGATCACTTATGACTGGGAAATAGATTGCTTTTGCTTAAAAAACTCTAGTATTTAGTTATATCTCTAAGAAATTAAAGATAAGGGATAAGTTATCTCTTCAATAAGGCAAATAAGTTGATTTTTATATTTCGAAACAAAGGTGGAAATGTATTTTACAAATATCGCACTATTTTCACTTCATATTTAATTATACATTTTATATTTATTTATTTGTAATGCAAAAATAAATCCTTTTAAGCACTTCGGGTCTTTGAAAGGCTATATGTTCTTCCCATCCATCCGTTTCTCTGGATCATATTTTATGCTTATTTATGGCATTGCACTAGCCCTGTTTTATGGTCTGTCCAATAGATTTGAAATCCGATCTGCATACATACACATATATCCACTGCAGTGGAGTCCTTGAACCTGCTCCGCCACTGACCACCATCAACCATTCAACCAGCCATCCATCATCGTTACAGCGGAACAGTAATTGTATCTGTATCTGCATCTGTACTTTGTATCTGTATCTGTACTGTCTGCTTCTGTATCTGAATGTGGCACCCTTAGGCCACCGTCCTTTAGCTGTCGCGCTAAATGGAAAACAATTAATGGAAATGAAATTATACGTGGCCGGAAGCCATCATGAATTTTGAGTGCAAATGCCATTAGCATTTCAGGGAGTAGGAGGAGTAGGAGGAGATAGTGTATGTATGTTTTTCCCGGGGCGGAATGCTTAGGGGGCTGTCAACACATGTTGAACCTATTAAATTTCCAACAGCACAGGACTCGGACAGGACATGGACTGGCAATGTGTGCACTGTACTGTGATTTCCATTTAAAACCCAGTGGGGTTTACTTTCTAATATAAAATATATGTATAAAGTAAAGTATAGTTTTCAGAGCACTAAAATCCATTTTATCCTTTATCCACAGATGGCTCCGATTTCAAGGAGCGGCTAATAGCCAGCGTGAAGAAGGAGGTGAAACAGCTGATGGAGGAGGCGGTGACCAAGAAGTATGTGCACGAGGAGAGCAGCTCGGTGACCTCACTCTGCGGCGCCGTTGAGGCCTGCCTTAGCCAGGGATTGCGTCGTCGGGCCTTGGGCCTGTTCAAGACCTCATCCACGACGGCATTGCTGCACAAGATTGCCAAGAGCTGTCCGGAGGCAGAGCACATCAGCAAGCTGGTGCAGGAGATCGAGGCCAGTGATCCCAGTAAGCGATCCTCCAGCAGCAGCGATAGCTTCCAACGGCCACCGATGCTGAAGAAGAGCAGCAGCAATTCCATGTCCACGGCCGCCTCAACGTCATCCGCCTCGGCATCCATCAGTGTCAGTGCCAGCAATTCGAGCATGTCTCTGGCAGGGATGAAGTGAGTCTTATCCTTTTATCCTTGGGTTGCTTATCCTTATTTATTTGACGCTTTCTCTCAGATATTTGTGGATCCGCTTGGCCCTGTATGAGAAGCGACTCACCAAGATCATAGAGTATTTGGTGAGCAATGCCAGCAGTTTCTACGATCGCGATTCTTTGGTGGCCGATCCGGACTATGGTTCCATCCTGAGCTCCCTGCTGGTGGGTCCCTGCGCTTTGGAGTTCACCAGGGCCAAGACAGCTGATCATTATTGGACCGATCCGCATGCCGATGAGCTGGTAAGCCAGGAAGAGAGCTTCCCACTCAATGGTAACACTTATCCTCCTTTAATCCTCTCTCGACCAGGTGCAACGACATCGTATTAGCTCCTGCCGGCGCTCCTCTTCCACCTGCTCCCGGCCGGCAATCATCAACTTTAAGCGCAGCCTGAACACCAGCTCCGATGAGGCAAGCAGTGGCTCCTTTAAGTCAATTGCCTCGGCCAGCGTGGCCAAGGACTATGTGGAGTCACTGCATCAGAATGCCAAGGCCACTTTGCTCTATGGGAAGAACAATGTGCAGGTGCTGCCCAAGGATGTGCTGGAACCGATGCCCGGCTATCTGAGTCTGCATCAGCACATCCAGACGCTGACCATCAAGTGGACACCCAATCAGTTGATGAACGGTTATGCCGAGGAGGAGGCCGAGGACATTGACAAGGATGCCTTCTGGGCCTATGCTCTCAATATCAATGTGGACGAGATTGTGTATGTCCACTGTCATCAGAGTCGCGGCGAGGATAGCGGTGGCACTGTGATCCTTGTTGGCCAGGACGGAGTCCAGCGTCCGCCGATCCATTTCCCCGAAGGCGGGCACATGCAGCAGTTCCTCAGCTGCCTGGAGACGGGACTCCTGCCACACGGTCAGCTTGATCCTCCTCTGTGGTCACAGCGCGGCATAGGCAAGATGTTCCTTTGGCCACGGAGCATGCGGCGTCGCATTCTGCCCTCGGTGATGGAGTCCGTGGATGAGACGCCCATTGACTATGTTTTCCGCATTGTCAGCAAGAGCAGGCACGAGGAATTCGGTGAGTTGTTGGACTTTAAAGATGGAATGTAGAAGTTGTTCTGATGGGGATTTTACTCTCTCCCAGCTGCCACTCACTCCATACTGGACTTTGTAAGGAGTACTCCGAGAAGGGCACAGCTGAGCAGTTGCTCCACCACCGGCAGCAGCGATTGCTCCAATAAGAGTCTCTCCATTGACCAGTTCCCACTGGAATCACCGCTGCTCCTGCAGCAACAGTCGCAGCATCAGCAACAGCAGCAGCTGCTCCAGGCACAGAGCACTAGCATCGAGATGGTCTGCTCCACAATGCGACGACAGATCATCTCCAGGGCCTTCTATGGCTGGTTGGCCTACTGCCGGCATCTCTCCACAGTGCGAACGCATCTCTCTGGCCTGGTTCATGGTCGGATTACGCCAGAAAGTGAGTTGGGAGGAAGAATATTATCCCATTCTTAATCTATTAACACGTTCCTTCCTTCGACAGTGAAAGCCGATGAGGAGGGCCTGACCAAGGAGCGCTGGCAATTGCTTAACGTGGATGGTGTCCTGGAGAATGCCACCGAGTTCTATCGCCTCGTTTACTTTGGTGGCGTCCAGCCGGAACTGCGGCAGGAGGTGTGGCCCTATCTCCTGGGCCATTATGCCTTCGGATCCACTCGCGAGGAGCGGCAGAAGCAGGACGAGACCTGCAAGCACTACTATGAGACCACGATGAGCGAATGGCTGGCGGTGGATGCCATTGTCCAGCAGCGGGAGAAGGAGAAGACGGCACGGGCGGTGGCCAAGCTGAGCTCCGGCAGTAACAGTGGCAATGAACGCACCGTCCGTGCAGCGGACATCGATGCCGGTGGAGAGCTGGAGAACGAAGTGTTCGAGGACATCTCGGATATATCCGATCCCGGTGACCTGGAGTTTGATGAGCAACAGCAACAGCAGCAGCAGCATCAAGAATCCGTCTCTGTCAGTGGCATGCATTTGAGTGTGAAGCCCATTCCCAGGGCCATGAAGACCAGCACCGATTCGGGGCATGTCGATGAGGGCGAGAACTTCAACGAGCTGGATGAGGATGATTTACGGGCAGAGGAGGAGGAGAAGCAGGCCCAGCAGAAGCCAGAGCAGGAGCAGGAGCAGGAGCAGGATGAAATCGAGGAGGAGGAAGAGCCAAAATTGGAGGAGCAACTCAATCCAGAGCCCAGCTGCTCCACTTCCACAGCCTCCTCGTATGAGACAGTGGGTCCCAGTGCCGCCAATCAGACTCGAAGTGTCCTCAGTCCGGAGTACCTAAGTGCCGACGATTTGCAGCTGCCCGAAGATGAGGTTCCAGTGAAGCCTCAACCTCCACCTCCGCCTCCGACTCAGCCCCAGGCAGCTGCTGTTATCATCACCAAGGCCTCCGTGGATATCACCAATTGGGAACGGAGTCCCAAAAGCGGTGGCCAGGGCCAGATGTCCCCGGTGGAGGAGCAGGCCATCAATCTGGATAACTTGCAGCAGCCCAAGTCAACATGCGCCTCCCCAGCCAGCTCCAATGGCGGTGTCTACAGCGTGAGTGATCTCTCAAGAATATATCCTTCGGTTCAATTCTGATTTCAAGTTTCAAATCCTTTGCAGAGCGAGCTCCTTGAGCAGTTTGGTCTGAATCTGCATCGGATCGAGAAGGATGTGCAGCGCTGTGACAGGAACTATTGGTACTTTGCCAATGAGAATCTGGACAAGCTGCGCAACGTGATCTCCACATATGTGTGGGAGCATTTGGATGTGGGTTACATGCAGGGCATGTGCGATCTGGTGGCTCCACTCCTGGTCATCTTCGACGACGAGTCACTAAGCTACAGCTGCTTCTGCAAGCTCATGGAGCGCATGATCGAGAACTTCCCCAGCGGAGGGGCAATGGATATGCACTTTGCCAACATGAGGTGAGAGATATCAGAATTATAGGGTCATTATCTTCGATATTAATAGAGATTTGTGTATATAGATCCCTCATCCAAATCCTCGACTCGGAGATGTACGATCTGATGGACTCGAATGGGGACTATACGCATTTCTACTTCTGCTATCGCTGGTTTTTGCTGGACTTTAAGCGGGAGCTGGTCTATGACGATGTCTTTGCCACCTGGGAGGTGATCTGGGCGGCCAAGCACATAGCCTCTGGTCACTTTGTCCTCTTCCTGGCACTGGCCCTCCTGGAGACCTATCGCGACATTATCCTCTCGAACAGCATGGACTTTACCGATGTCATCAAGTTTTTTAATGGTATGAAACAAAGTCTTTTCTTGGTTGTAATTAGTGTTTAAGAAAGTATCCTATATATTTGTTAAGTTCCAGAGGAATTTAGACAGTTGTAGCTTGTTTTAAATCTTGTTGAATATATTTATAAATATTTATTATTTCATTTACAGAAATGGCTGAACGTCACAATGCCCAGGCAGTGCTCCAGTTGGCCCGGAGTCTAGTTCTTCAGCTGCAGATGATCATTGAGAACAAGTAATGGAGAGAGGAAGCCAAAATAAATCACAAACAAATGACAATATATGTAAATAAGATGCGTAAAGTCCTGTCCTAAATGAACACAGATAGAACGCGCGCTCTACGCATCTTATTTATTTACATTGCCAAACCAACCAACTTTATAGAGAGTTATTCTTAGAATCTATTGTAGATCGTAGTTCAGTCAAATTTCGTTTGCCAAAGATAACACAAATAGAAGAAGATATAGCTGATTAACAAAGCAAACAATAAATATTTGTAGGAATAGTTTGCCTTTTTTTTTGTCGATCGATGTCTTCGTTATAAAGTATTTACACACCCACATAGATGTAACTATATGATGGACCCTCAGATTTAAACTCCAACTGTAACTGTAATTGTAATCCTATATCCTAATGGTAACTGTATTTATATGTCTACGTAAGATCTTCCTGAACTCTTCACGCATATCCCCAATGAGAAATGAATATAATGGTAAACACAAAACAGGGGCTGAAAATGCAAAAGACTCTGAACCAAAAGAATGAAATCTTATATACATATATGGAGAATAAACCCTTTACAAATGTATAGAAATATATATAAAAAATGTCTCTGTTATTCACACTTTGCACACTCGAGCGATTGTTTTTTGTTAATGTTTTGTTTTTTAAATGTGGATCAACCCAAGAATAATAATTAACAAATACTTATATTATATTATATTATATAGAGAGAGACTCAGATAAGTGCAATGTAATTATCACGTTAAATCAAAGGCAAATCAAGTTATCAGCATATACACGAGATACTGTGAATTGTAAGAAGTATATATAAATATATCTATCCTGCGTTATCACATTATATATATTATAAAAGAGAAAAGAACCCAGTTGAGGGAATACATATATATTCCAATCTGAAACTAAATCTAAAACTATGTACCAGCGAAAGAAATGGAATCCAATTGTGTGTAACAATCAAAGTCAACAATAAGTCAAGTCAAGTATCCCTGAATTGCCACCTAAAAATATGTACACCTATATATCTATATATATACGAGCGATCTTGAGTGTCTATTATCCTCAGCCTCGGTTCCCACTTTAATTTGATTGCCTCTTATTTTTTATATGAATATATACATATATATATCCATGTTTATATATTTACAAAAGAGTACATGTATTCCTCTAACTCTCTGTCTCTCCCCTGTGTGATCTCTCTATCTCTACACCGAGTATAAATGTTGTGGACTATCTTAATACCTTAAATTCTTTGTAAATGTACCTTTCGCGGAAAAGTCGGAGGAGACTGATCATGATCCCTCCTCCGCTTCACTATATCTCAATTACAAGTATATATATAAATATACACCACACAGTATGAATAACAACCAATATAAATATATATAGTATAAATGTATACAAGTACAAAGCTAGCGATGGATTGTTTGAAAAATGGAATCAATAAATAACACATATACGATATATACATATATAAAGGAATTGAAATTTAATTGGTTTAACGTACGATATATCCGGAATACAAATCCATCAGCTGATCGCACAGCATATAGGTAAACAAATATTTATTCTTCCCTTATCTCTGGATCGATATGATAAGGCGACCTTCCTTTAAAAGGTTCTATTCCCGGCCCACTCGTAGTTGCCAATGGCCCAAAAAGCGGATTGATAATACGCCATACGGATTGCCAAGGGATACGCACGTATGAATGAAGCGTAGTTACACTCGAAAAAAATAGTTCTTACTTTTATTTACTAAGAAAATAAAGCAGTATTGTTTAGATAAATATATATTAGAATTTATATTATTAAATTAAAAAATATATATTTAATCTAAACAAAGGGAAAACTTTACAAAGTATAGAAAAAGAAACTCTATTTCTTAGGTATATATTATTCTCTCTATACCATTTGCATTCTTTTCGTTTTAAAAATCATACTAAGGAACGAATGTTCCAATTTAATTGTAACTTTCTGAAATTATTTTTAAACAACTTATCCAAAAATTATTTATGAAACCCCTTTATTTAAGAAAAATAGTCTAGATCTGCAAGCTGGTGCTTTTATGTTTGCTTATTTATTAAATCCCCTTTGATATATACTTTTCTTTAAATGTATTATTTTTAGAGACAAAAATATCACTCAAGGGTTTCTAGTAAAATATAATTCTATATATAAAAACAATTTTCTTTGAACTGTAGGCGTTTTTCTTCACTGTGTTCACATCATAAAGAGGGAAACCCGCCTTATCTAGAGTGCCAAATTCACCTCCGCAGTTTCTGTGTGTTTTTGTTTGCCTCAAAATCCAGATCCAGAGAGCATCCACAATTGGGTCTTTGGAGTATATAAGCTACTGACCTGCAGCTGCACTTACCTCATTCCCTGGTTAAATTGAGCGGAGTTAGGATCGCGTCCAGAATGTCGTCGTCGTCATCTTTTTTGGCCAGTTTGTTGGGTCTCAGTAATGGCGAGGATCAGCTTCAGAGGGCCTTCGATGAGGTTCAGAGTTTAAGGAGTAAGTTAATAAAATACAACAAGGATTATAATTCACATAATTATCAAAGTTATTTTTGCTTAGCTAAAATATAAATCATGAAGATTAGTGTAATGACACTAGGTGGTACATAAGACAAGTGATTTTGTATATGATATAATAAAAATATAACTATAAATCAATAACTTGCTTGTATTTTAAAACTCTTTTAAAATAATAGTTATAAAAACTAGTTTCTAAAATGGTATCCCTTAGCTATATAGGAAACTAAATTTGAAAAGTCGAAATCTGTATACTTTTGCAGTTTTTTAATGAATTATAAAATCAAATCAATCATAACTAAGCTTAAAATATTCGCCTTCTTTGAATCGATATTTTTTTGTAAAAGTTTAAAAAACAAAAATTAATTTTAATTCGAAAAGGTTTCCTATTTTAACTTTTATTAGCTTAATAAATCTGCTTACTCAATTAAACATTTATAAATTAAAATTAACATGAAGACTTTTTCATTTTAACGATGTAAACCCCTATAAAGTTTCTTAAAAATTTTTAAATTATTCTTTTTTGCCTGAGATGGCTAGATCGACTCGGCTGTTGATGCTGATTAAAATATATACATGATTTATAGGGTCAGCCTTACAAGCTTGAAAGGAAATTGACTTAGAATACCCTTGTAGTTTTGATTGATCATAATTAAGCCAAAAAGGCATTACTTTTAATTTGGAAACTTTTCATATGCCAGTTTTTATAAAGTAAATAAATCTGCATACTCAATTTAAAGTTAAAAAAAAAAAATTAAATTTTTACCAATTTTTTGAAAATTATAACGATGTAATCCCTTATCTTTTTTTGACAAAATTTTAAAAATTTATTTTTTTAACAAACATGGCTAGATCGACTCGTCTGTTGATGCTAATCAAGAATATAGGGTCGGAAATAAATCTTTCACCAAGTTTAAGGCTTTTGACTAAAATTATAACACACGCAAAAAATCATAAATTCCCATCACTATGGAACGCAAAGCTTAAAAAAAGCTTTCTCTATCTGTAAGTGTCCAACCCTGCCGGCGGAGCAGCTGCTTCTCCGATCCCAGTTCCAGCTTAGTCGCCTCCCAGCCGCTGACCAAGTTTTGTGAGTGAGTGCGCACTGGGCTTGCAGCCGCAGCCGCTGGCCTTCAGTTTCAATCTTTTGGATGATCTTTGGACCTGTGCTGGGATCTGTTTACTAACTCCAAAACGTACATTTTGCAATTGCAGCTGGTGCTCCCTTAAGACAGGCAACGAACCTCAAGATGTCCGCACCCATACGATACTATTATGACAAGATGTCGCAGCCCTCGAGGGCATTACTCATTATCTTCCGGCTAAGCAATATGCCATTTGAAGACTGTGTGGTGGCTTTAAGGAATGGTGAGCTTGGGAAAGGGTCATTAAACCAACTTGAAACCTATAAATTACTTGAACAAATTAAACTTTAAAGATCAAGTACATAACAGTCAGCTTAAGATTCTTGGATTTTCAGCTGATTGTAATCCAGAAGCTAATTAAGATAGCAACTTTTTAAATACTATAAATCTATGGGAACTACATACAGTAACAAACAAGAAATCTTATCTTAACTACGTTCTTTGCCCTCCCCGTCCAGGTGAACACTTGACCGATGACTTCAAGCGGCAGGTGAATCGCTTCCAGCGTGTACCCTGCATCCATGACAATGGCTACAAGCTGGCCGAGAGTGTGGCCATTCTGCGGTATCTCAGTGCCAAGGGTAAAATTCCCGAGCACCTGTATCCCAAGTACTTTGTGGATCAGAGTCGTGTGGATGAGTTCCTCGAGTGGCAGCACATGACACTTCGTACAACCTGCGCCATGTACTTCCGGACCGTGTGGCTGGAGCCGCTGCTAACGGGACGCACTCCCACCGAGGCCAAGATTGAGAAAATGCGGATGCATATGGAACGCAATCTGGATGTGGTCGAGGAGGTGTGGCTGGAGAGTAGCGACTTCCTTACCGGCAACACGCTCACCGTGGCGGACATCTTTGCGGCCTGTGAAATAGAGCAGACGCGTGAGTAATCTTTAATTTAATATTAAATATATTGATTTAATTAATTACTTTAACCCAGGCATGGCTGACTACGATGTGAGAATCAAGTATCCCAAGATCCGGGCGTGGCTGAAGCGCGTGCGCCAAAGCTGCAATCCTCACTACGATGTGGCCCACGAGTTTGTCTACAAGATTTCGGGAACGGGGCCCCAGGCGAAGCTCTGAGTTCCAGGCATTATTTAAATTTTGTACATAGTTCATAGAATTATTTATGGGAAATTATTAAGTTTTGTAAAATAGATAAATAAAGTATTAAGAAAACACTGGGTTGTTCTGATTCTGGTTTATCCTTGTACAATTTATTCTTAATATTGGTTGTTTCATTTTTATTGTGTCGTCGTTTATAGCATTATATAGAAAATTCACATTTATTTTTGTTGTTTTCCGTTTTTTGTTTGCAAAAAAAAATCATAATAATAATAATAAAATAAAAATCATAATACAAATAAGATTTTTAAATGTATATGTAATAGAAAATACAATTTTTAAAAAATAACTACCTAAAGTCTAACAAAAAATTGTTTTTAGTTAATAATATAATATTTATATAGCAACGTTACGCGCTTGGGGCTCTTTCTATATACTTTTCTTCTTCCTTTCTCTCTATCTTCACTCCTCCATTTATTGTTTCTTCTCTCTTTTTGTAACAAAACAAAATGCGTACAAAATATATATATATATATTTTTTTTTTTATTTTTATATATGTCCTCTTATGGGGGGCTTGGTTTTTCGGGATTTAAATCATAAATATTGTGAATGAAATCAAAAAAAGTAAATTGTATATACAGCAAAAACAAAAATAATAATTTTAATAATATTAAAAACAAGAAAGGAAGCTAACTTCGGCACGCCGAAGTTTATATACCCTTGCAGATAGAACTTCTATGAATAGGAATCCATACAATATAAATTATATATATTTGTGTTAAAAAACAATGAAGTAATACCTGCTTTCATTTCATTCACCTATACATATTATATTTGCAGTTTTACATTCACAGATTTGCATTTTTCCTCTACATCAAACGATCGATTGTATGGCACCTATATGATATAGTCGTCCGATTTTTATGAAATTTGCCACAAAATTTAAGACTTATATAAAATGGCTTTACCTCAAATTTTATGAAAATCAGCTGAAAACTAAAAAAGTTATAAATTTAATTGTATTAATTTCTCGATCGTTCCTATGGGAGCTATATGATATAGTAGTCCGATTTTCATAAAATTTTACACAAAATTTTAGAATAATATGAAATGGCTATATTTCAAATTTGATTAAATTCTGTTGAAAACTAAAAATGTTATCGCCACCGCGATTGTCAGTCTTCCGACAACAGCCACCGCCATTCTCATTTCTCTCAAATTTCTCGATCGTTCCTATGGGAGCTATATGATATATTAGTCAGATTTTCATAAAATTTTACACAAAATTGTAGAATAATATAAAACGGCTATATCTCAAATTTGATGAAAATCTGTTGAAAACTGAAAATGTTATACTTATTAATTGAATTAATTTCTCGATCGTTCCTATGGGAGCTATATGATATAGCCGTCCGATTTTCATAAAATTTTACACAAAATTGTAGAATAATATGAAATGGCTATATCTTAAATTTGATCAAATTCTGTTGAAAACTAAAAATTTTATAATTTTTTTTGTAAAACTTTTCCGATCATTCCTATGACAGCTATATGATATAGTCGTCCGATCCGGCCCGTTCCGACATATATACGAGTGAGAGTATATAGAAGACTAACTGCAAAGTTTCATTTAGATAGCTTCAAAACTGAGAGACTAGTTTGCGTAGAAACGGACAGACGGACAGACGGACAGACGGACAGACGGACAGACGGACAGACGGACAGACGGACATGGCTAGATCGACTCGGCTGTTGATCCTGATCAAGAATATATATACTTTATATAGTCGGAGGTGCCTCCTTCACTGCGTTGCAAACTTCTGACTGAAATTATAATACCCTGCAAGGGTATAAAAATATATATGGGACGAAATACTATAATACAACTACTAGCTAATTGCTTAATTTATATTAATATATATTTGCATGTATGTATCTTTTAATGCGCTCTTTTTTTTCATCCAAAACTTAAATCATATCAAAATCATATACAAACTACTCAAAAATATATATTTATATATATAATATAATATATATATATATTGTGTATATATAATTTTCCATCAATATTAAACGTAATTTCGAACATTTCCCTTTTCAAAAAATTGTTGCTTCTGTTTTTTAAATTTACTTTCCGCGCCTCTCCTGTCGCACCTGTCCGGTTGCCAGGGCACTCATGTGCGTGTATATCGCTATATTATATAGTTATAAACAAAGTTGCACCGCCAGTCGTTTAAAAAAAGTAAACAATTTATGTTTAATAAGGTAAAAAAAGTTTGTAATATTTAAAACAAAAAAATGTAAAGCAAACAATTTAAGGCACCAAAAATGGGTTATACGTTCGTTTCGTCCTTCTGCTCGTCTTCTTTTTACACATTCGCACAAAGGGAAATATATAAATATATATAAATATAAATATATTGATATAAATATAAATATATCTATATATACGGACATATACACACATCTAAAACTAAAACGAAGGACTCAGCTCAACTTGGTTGGCTTTCCATCCGGACAGGCGACACTCTGGCGGCACTTCTTCGGTTTTTGTTTATATATTTTCTTTTTTTTTAACAATTTGTTGCGTTCGTTAATTGTTATATTAAATATGATTATTTTTTACAAATATATATGCGTGTGTGTGGGTTATTTATGCGTTTTTCCGTCTGTATTCTTTGTGTTTCTTGTATACGTTTTACAAAATAGTTATCTCTTTCTTTGTCTATCCTCAATATACCTCTCTCTCTCTCTATCTCTGTCGCTTTCTCTATCCCTATCTCTATCTCTCTGTCTCCCTCTTGCGCGTTTCTCAGCTTGGTTCCCATTTTAGTTTGTGTGTTTCTCTCAGTGTATTCTCAGTGTGAGTGTGCGAATAAATAAATTACTTGCCGCTTCTTATAGTTCATTCTACGATTGTTTCATTTTCTGCGTTGCATTGTTTATAATATTTGTAGGAGGAGGTTGTCCAACTTTTCATAGCTTTTCTTTAGTTTTCCAACTCGACTACTTCTAGTTTTCCTCTTTTTCTCTCTCTCTGTGTTATTTGTTGGTCAGTTTCGTTTACTTTGCTGTTTTAATTCCACAATTAATTGGTTATGTTCTTGGCTGATATCTCTTGAAAGCCACAGCTTGGGACACTTGAACATTTAGTAAATATGTATATATATATAAAGTATATATCTTGATATTATTTAAGGGATATTACCAATTTTTCAATTGCTCTCTGCCTGGATCTGCGCTGCGCTCTGCTCTGATTACCTGATTTCTCGCTCAAAAAAACTGTTACTGTGGTTACAACATGTTCTGTGTGTCCTTCTCAACTTGTACACATTGATATTTAATAGATATATATATATATATATTAATATATAGACTATGGTGACTGTTTTGTTTATATTGACATAAATCATTTAGGTAATATAGAAGCAGATTCTTTTGAACGATTTCAAATCGAAAAACTATTCGAAAACGTTCATAAATTACTTGCTTTTATAACCTTGTGATTTTACAACTTGGTTTTGTTTTGTTTTTCTTCTCATTTTCTTCCTTTTTTGTTAATATTTTTAGTTAAACTGTTTTGTTTGTTTATCATTGTTGTAAAATACTGCTTTCTTTGAACGAAATATTGAAATATTTTGTAATTATCTATACTTCTGGTGGCTCCTTTCAGATATTTTCTTGGAATCTGTCTGTTCATGCGAACTTTTTAGTGTTTAATCATATTCTCAGGCATTTTGCATTCCGATATATGATATATATGTTCAGGTTCCAATCCAAACTGATCTTTGAGCTCAGTGACGTCGCCTAGAAGCGTCCCCTATTGAGGTTCTTAATGCGTATGCCCACTTCCAGTACCTGATCTCCGGCTCCCGCCGGTGTGGTGCTATTGCTGCTGCTGTTACTGTTGCTGCCACTGCCACTGCCGCCACCTGATGTTCCTGGAGGTGGAGCATTCACTGTGGATACACCACCGGTGGCTGATGTTCCATTGCCATTGCTGCCATCGCTTTGCGGTGAGTTATTGTTGTTACTGCTGCCGCTGTTGTTTGATCCCGAACTGGAACCGGATCCAGGTTCAGCACCCGATTGACCAGCACCCAGACGTCGCAGTACCATTGTGGTCGTAGTGGTTGTTGTGGTCGTCGTCTCTGCCGCCGCAGCGGCGCTGGCACTGGCCCCGCCACCGGACACAGTGGACACCGTGTTCAGTTTGAGGAGTTGCTGCTGATGATGACGATTGTGATGATTATAGTTGATGGCCGCCAGATCGTGACCGGCGGCAGCATGACCATGCGAATGCGAGTGCGAATGCAAGTGGCCATGGGCGTGGACATGGTTCGAGCAACTGCCATTGCTGGCGGAATAATCGTGGGGACCGCCGACCGTGTGCCGTCGCTTAATGGAACGATTCTGCTTATTCTGGATTTGACGCTTCTTGGTCAGATTCATGTCAGTCTTCTCGTCCTTCGTTAGGCCCGTGCTGGTTGCATTCAGTGCCTGGCAACAGGCCATGCCCACGGCTATCGCTGCCACTCCGCTCGATCCGGCACCAGGGCCGGTCGTCTGTGAGGTGGTCAGGTGTCGGGTGGAGTAATTGCGACAGTTGAAGCTGGCGCTGCGAAATAACCGATGGTCACGTCTCTTTTTGTTGTAGCGCTCGAGAAAAAACGACGGCGATGGGCGTTCGCCCAGCATCAGTTTCTCCTTGGGATCACTTGTTGTGGAGCCCTCGGAGTCATCCTCGGAGGCAGCACCACCACCGCTAGAAGCTCCTGCACCAGTTCCCACTCCCGGTCCACTTGAGGCATTGCCTCTCTCGTAACTCAGATAATTGCTGCCAAATCTGGTATGCAGACTCTTGGTTAGGGTATTGACACTGCTCGAGGAACTGCGTGGCGGCGGCATAACTCCACCGCTGCCCGTGGGCGTACTGCCAGTGGGCGTGGCTGCTCCGCTTGTGGGCGCCGTAGAGCTTCCCTGATGTATGGGCACCGTAGCCGAATGCTGTAGCTTGTGGGCGGCGGCCTTAAGCAAGCTAGGGGGCAACGGCTTGGACGACGGCTTGGATAGTTTCTCCTCCTCATCGTCATCGCCGCCAATCGTATTCGTGGCCGTGCAGGAGCGACTCAGGTGAAGGGACAAGGGAGCGGCATCCAGGGGATTGCAGAACTGATGGAACAGCCGTTCGGGCGACTCGTCCGCATACGGAATGTTCTCGGAGTGCATATGCAAGGGCTGACCCAAAGTATGGCGACGATTCTTGGGAAAATCACGGCCGGCAACGTTCTCATCGTTGGACTCGGAACCGCTGCGCAAGTTCCGCAGCTTGGTGTCCAGCGTATCCGTGATAGTTGTGAGCGACATGGAACCTACAAATAGATTTATCAAGAAGGGAATCTAACATTATACTCTGACTACCATGCTTACCCGTATCGCTGAGCCTGCTGCTGGACTCGTCGTCCGTTAGCAATATCGACACATCCACACTGCTGCGCTGCTGCTCCTTGGCCAGATTTAGATTTAGATTGAGTGCCAGGCTGCCAGCGGAGTCCACACTGCCCGAATCCTTCTCATCCAGACTGGCCTTGCGCGTCTGCTGTGAGGATCGTGATGAGCCAAGGAAACCACCAGTGCTGCGCTTCTTCAGTGCCGCACTCTGCAGGAATTTCGATGAAGTGGCCGAAATGGAGGAGGATATGGCCGTCGTCGTAGTCGAGGAGGATGAGCCTAACTTGGTTGTCGAACTGGTTGATGAGGAGGAGGCGGATGCCTTGCCACTATGCAGCGTTGAGCTGCTCGATGTGCTGGCCGTGCTGCTGGCCGAGGCCGATGCCGAGGCGGAGGTGGACACCTTGGCGTAGTCCAGCGACTGAAAGGGCAGAGAGACGGAGGAAACGGGTGTGGGCAGGAGCAGGGTTAGAGCCTGATCACAAATGCTCTGCACAGCCTTGCGCTGTGCCCGACGTCGCTGCTGGATGGTGGTGGTTGTGGTTGTGATGTTGGTGGTGGTGATGGTGCTACTACTACTACTACTACAGCTTGTGATGGTGTTGTGGGTGGTGGTGTTTGTGGTGTTGTTGGTGGAGCAGCTACTCCCGCTTACCAGAACACTCTCGCCGGAGTAAGTGTCCGAATTGACAACACTCCGCTTGCCATGGGTCTTGCGTCGCAGTTGCGGCATGAAGCGCGAAGTGCGCGTTGTCGTCTCCCGTTCGGTGATTCGCTCGATCTTGGACAGATTGTGCAACAGCATGCTTGTCTGATCCTCCTGCGTCTGTTGCTGGGGTTGGGCAGCACTCACGGCGGCACAAGCGCCACTCACCTCGGCCAAATCCGGCAGACTACCACCCTCAAAGAAATAGTCATACTAGGGAGAGAAAAATACATATTTTTAGAAAGGAATTTAAAGCTTTTTACACTATTCTCGAATTACCTGTGTCACCAGCAGCTCAACGATGCGGCACTGGTGCTTCATGTCCTTGACCGCCGTTTCTAGCGTGTCATTTGGCGTCCTGATGATCGAGGGACCAAAGATAATGGCCAAATTCTTGGGCTCCATACGATTCACTTCACAGTTGTCGCTCACCCGGCACAGATGCCGGATCAGATGCTTCATTGTCTCGTAGGGATGTCGTGGAAGCGACTCCACAATCTCTCGCAGGAGCACGATCCTCTCCAGTCCCACCTTTTTGTCCGCTTCAATGAAATTGATGTAGTAACTGGCGGGCATCAAGGCATCCGGCAAACTCCTGATAAACAACTTGAGCAGACTGCTCACCACATTCACATCCTCCCAACGCACATCCGTGGCACAGCTCTCAAACTGAAAGTCCTTGGTATTAACCAGCTCGGAGAGTTCCGATATGGCCGCCTTGTTGCCGGGTATGCGATAAATGCCGACAACACTCAATCCCTTGGTCTCCACAATATTGGTGCACACTTCGACCAGATGTGGCACACACGGATTCAGCTTCGACATGGGACAGTTGCGCAGGGGAACACCAATCGAACCGGTTTGCTTCGATGAGCAGCCAGAGGATGGCGATGCCAAGTCGTGATGATGATGGGACACTCCACCACTGCCACTGCCACCGCCACGGCGGAATAGCAAATCCTTCCAGTTCTTCGATTTCGGTGAGCCCAAATCCTTGTCGGGTATATGCTTGTGCGACGAGGACTTTCTGGCCTTCATCACCGGCGATATGGAGTCGCTGGTGGCGGCCACAATAGCCGCAGCCGCTGGCAAAGCCGAAACATGATGACCACCAGCCTCCGCTGAATGAGAGCTCAAGGGTGAGCTATCTGCAGCAGCAGCTGCTCCTGCTCCTCCAGATTGAACATCGTCCAGATAGCTGCTGCTAGAGGTGGCGGCTGTTTTCTGAGGCTCCGCCATTTGCTTTCCAGGCAGCTGTTGATGCTCCTGTAATGGGATTAAATTAAAATTTGTATATAGTCTACTTAATGTTTCCTTTCCTAATTGAAACTCACATTATCATCGTAATTGAGGCTATCCTTCCACTGCAGCAACCCAAACAGACGCTTCATTTCGTTGCTGCTTTTCGTCTTGAATAGGATTTCGGTGTAGGGACCACTGCTGCATGTCGAGGATGAGGTGGATGTGGACAGAGCAGAGGCGGAGGCTGTTGGCTCATTGGCACTGCTGCTGCCCGAGGAGGTGAGCAGCTGTTTGTCGTGATTCTCGTCCAGATTTAGCTCGTTGCCCAAGGTGGCAAGATGGGCACCACTGGGCGATGGCTTCGACTGCATGCGGATCAAGTACTTCTTCTTGTCCATCGACTCGTCGAAGAACTTAAAGTTTCTAATATCAAGTTCTATCACCTGCAGAACAGAATTTAGTAAACAAATTAATTTAATAAAATATTTTCCATGGCTTTTAGTTTATATATTTACATTATGCTCCGATTTGGCATGGCGGCCTGAGTAAATGCGCAGCAGATCTCCCTTAATCTCCAGCTTCACCTGACGCCACGATCGGTACTCGGACATGCGCTGAATTAAGAAAACAATATATTTATATAAAGAAACCTCTTGTAGACTTATCCTGCATAATTACCTTTCCGTTGATGCAGGAGGACTTGATCTCAATCTCCGTTTCAAAGGCCTCCAGTTCGTTGGGTACATATTTGCCATTTAGCTCGGCATCAATGTGAATGCTTTAGAAATGAAAACAAATATTAATATTAATACAAATATCAAGTAAACTCATCTCAGTAAACTCACCTGCTTCGCATGTCACTGCTCATGGAGGCCCGACGACTTCCGTGAGCCGACAGACGCACATCCTCCAGGCCATTGGGTGTCTCAATAAACTCATGGCCACCGCCGGTGCCTCCAATCACATCATATGTAGGATCTGGATGCTCCTCAACCAGGGATTTCGTTTTATGCGGCTCCACGACAACGGCAGCCACCGGAATGGGTATGGAAATGGGCATGGGCGCCACGGCAACTGAAGCTGTTGCGGGTAATGGTGCTGGCACTGTCGCTGGAGCTGGTGCAGATGGTACCGAATCCCCGCCAGCAGCTGCTGCTGCCTCAGCTGCATTAAAGTCGGCCTCATTGTTGGTGGCCCGCAAATAGGAGATCCGACGCATTGGTTTGCCTTCATCAAAGGAACTCGAGGCCAATGGCTTAAAGCGTCGGACGACCACGTTTCCAGTGGAGCTACTTTCCACAATGGCGGCCGCTGCAAGAATGAAGGTGGAATGGATTTGGATTAGTGGCTTAGCCTTCGTTGGATAATAATAAAATATTAAAGCGTGCGGTAATCAAAAGTGTATTTATAACATCCTTTAAATAAAGAATGTGCGAAAAATATTTCACATTTCTAGCTGCCTTTTGTCGTACGTTATGCAAGCGTAGTCTAGTTATCCTCACTTAGTCCTTAAAATAAGAATACACTGCGTGCTTGATAACAATTATAAAGTGAAGTGAATTTGTGCACATTTACAAGAAAATTATTGCCCTCACATATTTAATTGTTACTTTCACAAGTTATCCTAACACAAATATAATATAGGATAAATAAGTGTATCTGCCGACAATTGCTAAAAAAAAAAATTAAAATATAACTGCCCGAGAAACGGTTATCAAATGTAGATGATTAGTCAGTATCTTTCAACAGTAAGTAACTATGATCAGTAAGTATCAAAGAACATTAAGTAACTATGGTCAGTAAATACCTGTGATCAGTAACTATCAATTAATATTAAGTACTCTGATCAGTTAGTAGCTATGATCAGTAATTATCTATGACCAGTAAGTATGTTTGTATGATCAGTTACTAACTTTGAACACTAATAAACAATGACTTGCAACTTTTGTAACACAACACATGTCTAAGACCTGGCCGGCAGCAGTCACTTCGTTCCGGGGATGTTAGAACGAGTTGGGAATTATATGCACAGAAGTGCGAGATTTGTTTCGGAACAAATTTAAGCTATTTGAGTAAAACTATGGAGTTATTCGTGTATATAATTTTACTATGATATAAATCGGAGCATGGCGAATCGGTGGACTATATGTATACATATATATAGTTGACATAGGAACAATCGGACGATTTATTAAACCATGATCAGCAATTAACTATGAGCACTAAATAACTCTGAACACTAATTATCTATGAGCAGTAAGTAACTATGACCAGTATGTATCAATAAACATTAATTAACTATGATCAGTAAGTATCAATGAACTTTAAGTAACTATGATCAGTTAATAACCATGATCAGTAATTAACTATGAGCGGTAAATTACTCTGAACACTAATTATCTATGAGCATTAAGTATCTATAACCAGTATATATCAATAAACATTAAGTAACTATGATCAGTTAATAACTATGATCAGTGATTAACTCTGAGCAGTACGTAACTCTGAACACTAATTATCTATGAGCAGTAAGTATGTATGTTTGATCAGTTACTAACTTTGAACACTAATAAACAATGACTTGCAACTTTTGTAACACAACACATATCTGAGACCTGGCCGGTAGCAGTCACTTCGTTCCGGAGATGTTAGAACCAGTTGGGAATTATATGCACAGATGTGCGAGATTTGTTTCGGAACAAATTTAAGCTAATTGAGTGAAACCATGGAGTTATTCGTGTATATAATTTTACTAGTATATAAATCGGAGCATGGCGAATCGGTGGACTATATATATACATATATATATAGCTGTCATAGGAACAATCGGAAAATTTTTAGAAAAAAAAATATAACTTTTACAGTTTTCAACAGATTTTCACCAAATTTGATACATAGCCATTATATATATTAATATAGAAATTTGTGTAAAATATAATGAAAATATATATATCATATAGCTGCTATAAAACGATAGTTAAAAATAGGCGAAAGTGCAAAATGGTGAATGTAAAATTACAAATAAATATATATAATTTATACTGTATTTATTCCTAGTGAATTTCTATCCGCAAGGGTGTACAAATTTCGGCGTGCCGAAGTTCGTTTCCTTTCTTGTTTTGTTCTCAATTGTAGAATTCCCCCAAAGCTCTTTTAAATAACAAATGATAGTGAAAGCGCTTCAGTTTTCTTTCTTTTGTTCAAAATAAATACCAAACTATATATATATATTTCCGATCTTAACCTACCACTGCTCTCGGCAATATCCGCCAATGTGGCAACGGAAGTCACCGTCTTTTCCGGCAGCGAAACAAACTCTGCACCAAAGAGAAATACGTAATTTTAGAAAACTTTTCGATATATTGTGGAAGAGAGATAAAGATGGAGTTGGAGATCCCCAAAGTCAACTTACTACTGTTGGATGGCGGTGGCACTGGATCAATGGTGGCATTCGCCAACGTGGCCTTATGCAGTTCCATTCGACTGCTGCTACTCTGTCCATCTACCATTGTCTGTTGGCCACTCTGCTGGTGATATTTGGCCAGAGGATGCTGTTGCAGGGACTCGTATAGGATGGCACTCTGCTTTTTCACCGCCGTCGAGGTTGTGGAGGTGGATGTGCTCGATGTGCTGGCGGAGGACTCCAGGGCGTTGGTGTTAATAGATAGCGGCTTGAATGGATCAAATCCTTTGGACATGTGTGATACCAATTTGCGCTCGAATCTGTTGGAAGGGTTTTTTAAAATTAATTTCAACTCTAGATTGCTTTAGGCTGTTTCTTTTTAACAAATATACTTACACCTTATTGGTGACTCCCGTCTCCTGAAGCGTTTCAAAATAGTCGAGATCCTTGGCATACTTGGCATTGTTATTAATCATAACCTGGCGGTGTTGCTGCTGCTGGATCTGTTGATGCTGCAAGTGGTGATGATGTTGCTCCTGTTGCTGCTGTTGGTGGTGCATCTGCTGCTGATGGTGGTGGCTCACAACGCTACCCGGAGCTGTCGAAGATCGCTGCACTAGCTTGCCACCGCCATAGAACATGTCGTAGCCGAGGACAACCTGCTGATGTTGCTGCTGCTGCTGCTGCTGCTGTTGTTGCTGTTGCTGCTGCTGTTGCTTGAGCAGCGCTTGGTGGCGACTTCGTGGCGGTGGTGCCACCACCTGTACACCACCGGGTGGCGTGTGTGAGGGGAAAAAGTGCTGCTGATGCTGCTGTAGATGTTGCTGTTGCTGCTGGGCTGGCGATGACGATTGCGCCGCATTGCCATTGGCCGATGAGGCGGAGGACAGGGATGCCGGCCCTGGGGACTTAAGGAACTCCTCCTTTTGCTTGATTGACTCTCGCAAGCGTATCATCAGGTCACTGTTCTCACTGCCACCGGATACTGGGCCAGAGCCGGACATGGATACGGTTCCGGATCCCGCATATATCGCTTGACTAAGGGCCATGGATGACTTGGGTTGACGGGCGGTGGGTGTGGGCGTGGCCGATGCCGAGTTGGCTGATAATACTGTTAAATTTGGCGGCTGATTGGCACTGCAATTAAAAATAAATAAATAGGTAAGCATTAAAAACAAATTAAAATGGATGTGTAACATTTAAATATATTTATATTTTCATAGTCTTTTATTATTATTTTATATATATATACATTTAAATGTAATTATATTGAGCGGAAAAATCCAATTAGTTATATCGACATACATATTGCATTCAATATCGTATCAGATATATATATCGTATCAAAAAAATATCGATTTATATATCGACTAAAGTGTGAATATCAATATGGTACTGTTTTTTCCATACAGAATGACTTATTTCAAATAAATTGCATTAAATATGTAAGCTAATTGACTTCTAATTAATATTTAAAGATCTTTAGTATTTATATGATTTGTATACCCAGGATATCATTATTTCAGTCAGAAGCCTTAAACTTAGTGAAAGAGTCATTTTCCGACCCTATAAATCATATATATTCTTGATCAGCACCAACAGCGGAATCGATCTGCTCATTTCCGACAAAAAATTAAATTTTTATAAAAATTTGAAAATTGCCAAAATTTGATTTAAAAAATTAATTTCTTTAAATTTTAAAACGCAGTATGAAGATTTGTTAGCTTTACAAAAACTATCTGAGAACAGTTTTCGGAATTGAAATTAATGTATTTTTATCTTCGCTATGATATCTGAAAATTTTTAATTAACACAAAATATTAGAACATATAAAAATTGATTTAATGTATTTTGAATACACATATTTTAGGTTGGTGAAATACGATTGCCACAATTCATATAACCTCCTAGTTGTAATTAAAATCTAAATTAATTAAGAATAAAACATTGGAAAAATAAATTCCACAAAAAATGTAAATGCAATCTTTCTACATTTTGAATTTTTAATATTTAAAATAGTAAAGCCAAAATTCTAATAGCTTTCCAAATTGATATTAATTTATTTTTTGCTCAGTTATGATCGATTGTACTTTCGAACCCATGATCTTATGGTTAACCGGAAGGGTATACAGACATCGGCTGCTCGAAGTTAAATTAATTTCTAGTTTATATTAAAATCGTTACGTATAATGTATGATCATTGGCTTATCTGTGCTAAATTAATATAAATCCTTATTAATTTAGCTAAACACCTTTCTATTCACTTTCCAATAGCTAAAAACTGATTATTTAAAATAAAAAATACCTAATGCTTTGATTTCTTTTTTGTTTTGCCTGTTAATTTTTTGCTTTTAGCAATACAAAAACATATTTGTCAATTGAATAGTTCGAATATCAAAATTGGCAATCAACCAAATACAGTACACTCAATGTCTGTAAAGCTCCCTGTGCCGCTTTTTTTCGACAGCAACGGCGACGGCACGTGCCATCGTCAGTCATTCACTCACTCACCGCTGCTGTCGTCATACGCGGCGCATGCGCAATATTTGCGATCGCGTACGCGGATCACGCTTCTGCCGACCGCCCTCACTTGGGCATTGCCAAATTCCGGATTCCTTTGCCATATAAAATTATTATAAATATATATATTTATATATATAACAATATCAAAGATCCCCCTCTATTTTATTAATTAATTTTATTTTATTTCATTGTCTACAATCTCCTTTTTGTATATTTCAAGTCCAAGTCAATGCCTTTAAATTTTTAGGCAGTCAGCCAAAAGAAGTCTTTAATTAAATGTGCACGGGTTTTTGTAAATTAAATGTTTCTTTTTGAAACAAAGGTAATAAAGGTCAGAATTAAAATATATACTTTAAATCTATTATTAAGTTTAGAATAAATTATATTTACTAGAATATCTACATAAATTATACCATTTATTTGCTGCAAAGTAGTAAAAATAAGCTGCTGATTTTATTTTCTCCTGTAATTTCCACTCACATAATGTTTTACATAAAACACCTGCTTCCTGAATACCTGTTTCATTATCAATCCAATTATGACTACCTGCTGAGTATTATTCAGAAACTAAGCAATTTGTGGAAAAGGATAAAACATAAAAGAAAACCAAAGGTTATGAATAAAAAATGTCACCAAAATATACACAAATTTAAATCAAAAATGTTCATATAATTTTCAAGTTAAAATATGGTTTATATAATTCATAGAACCATGTATACTCAGATCAAGGTTTTCTGTAGCCTATTTTTCCTTAGAATTTATACATTTTGAAGAAAAAATTGTATAATTATTACATATGTGCAAATATTTCAGTTGAAAATCTCTTTTAAACTCTGTGTTTAAATTCTTTAACGAAACAAAATTTAAAGTAAATAAATCACACTAAATAATAATAGTAGTCAAATAATGTGTAATCTATTTAATTGTCTTTAAATGCATTTATTTAAATTCCCAGTTTTAGAAACCTTAAACCTGATTTTCTATTATATATTCAACTCAACTGAAAAGTGTTGAATATTTTATGCAATTTATAGACTGCAAATAAAATTTGCAACAAATTTTGCAGTAGAAAACCCACAGGCACACACACACAGTCAGAGTTAGTCAGAATCCTGTGAACTTGACCCGAGTGACATTCCTAATTGACAACGAATATGAAGTTTGATAAGTTCACGGCTAAAAGCCTTTTGTGATATTTGCAAATGCCAAATTATTGACCGTTAGTTTGTTGTGAAATTTTTGTTTCACCTGCTCCTCTGATGTATCCGGTATCCAGGATCCAGGACACAAACATACTTACACGTTGTTGTGTGGCGGCACTCAGCAAAACTGAGCAGAAGGCCAATACAAATTAGATTTGGGCCTTAGTTTAAGTGGCAGAGAGCAGGCCAAATAATTGAATTCCGTGTGGCACAAAGGCAAAAGAGCGTGGCATTTGCCTATCCAAGCACTTGCCCCGGTGGCTGTGGTGCCACTAGAAATGGCAAATTAGTTTAACTATGCCTCCAGTTTTTCCTGCTGCGTCCCGAGATCCCTTTATCCCGGTGTTAAATGAAAGTTCAAAGCTAAAAATAGTCCAGAGATAGTGCTAGTAGGTGTGTGTATGTGTGTGTCAGGATATTTAATTCAATTCGCTTTTAAAAGCCTTTCCCACACTCTCGAGGCTCTCGAAAACCCCGTCAGACTGTCTGTCAAGGTCAAAAGGTAATGAATAGATGGGGCCCCGCAACCGCCCCGTGACCCTTTTTCCCACCTCCTCCTCTTTCCTCTCATATGTCACGCTCCCTTCCTGCCGCAGGATCATATTTCACAAGTCTAGAGAATAAAGCATATCGCTCCTTCCTTGTCCTGCCTTAGAGTACACACTCACACTCACACTTACTCACTCGTATCAGTGGCGCATTTCTATTGCCTAGTTTTCAGCGCACAGTGGGTTAGATTTAAGAACATTGAAATTAATTTGTATACCCTTGCAGGTTATTATAAATTAAATCAGATATATGCGACGCAGTGAAGGAGTCATTTCCGTCCATATAAGTATAACTATGATAAGTAAGTATCTACGACCATTAATTAACTATGATCAGTAAGTATCACTGAATATTAAGTAACTCTGAACAGTAAATATCTATAACCAGTAATTAACACTGAGCAGTAAGTAACTCTGAACATTAATTATCTATGACTAGTAATTAATTATGCACAGTAAGTATCTATGAGCAGTAAGTATGTTGATGTTTGATCAGTTACTAACTTTGAACACTAGTAAACAATGACTTGCAACTTTTGTAACACAACACATATCTGAGACCTGGCTGGAAGAAGTCACTTCGTTCCGGGGATGTTAGAACCAGTTGGGAATCATATGCACGGATGTGCGAGATTTGTTTTGGAACAAATTTAAGCTATTTGAGTAAAAGTAAGGAGTTATTTTTCTATATATTTTTACTAGTATGTAAATCGGAGCATGGCGAATCGGTGGACTATATATATACATACATATATATAGCTGACATAGGAACAATCGGACGATTTATAAAACCATGATCAGTAATTAACTCTGAACACTAATTATCTATGAGCAGTAAGTAACTCTGAACAATAAGTACCTAAGACCAGTGAGTAAGTATCTATGACTAGTAAGTAACTATGATCAGTAAGTATCTATGGCCAGTAAGTATGTATTTAAAGTTACTAACTTTGAACACTACTAAACAATGACTTGCAACTTTTGTAACACAACACATATCTGAGACCTCGCCGGCAGCAGTCACTTCGTTCCGGGGATGTTAGAACCAGTTGGGAATTATATGCACGGATGTGCGAGATTTGTTTTGGAACAAATTTAAGCTATTTGAGTGAAATTATGGAGTTATTGTGTATATAATTTTACTATTATATAAATCGGAGCATGGCGAATCGGTGGACTATATATAAACATATATATACATATATATCTGCCATAAGACCGATCTGAAAGCTTTAAGAAAAATAACTAGAACTTTTCCAGTTTTTAACAGATTTTGATCAAATTTAATATATAGGCATTATATATTAATCTAGAATTTTGTGTACAATTTTATGCAAATCGGACGCTAGAAACATAACAATCTTCAATCTTTTAATGCAAAAAAAAAGTAAATTGAATTTGTAACAAAATAAGTACATTATTTCAATAAAACCGCCGATTTTAAACCACTGTGCAGAGCAGGTACCAACGGTAAAGCTTCCTGCATCAGTAGCGCGTATCCACACCCCCCTTCTCGGAAGTAAATGTGTGATTGTTGGTGTGCGAGTGCGAGTGCTCAATGGCATTATTATCTATGCATAAGCTTTGAATATAATATTCGATATATGCACATATGTATATACAAGTATGATTGTGATGCACTGAACAAAATGAAGGAATTTTTAAAATATCGAAAAATATAGCATTTAAAGTACAAATATCTATATTATTCATAATATCGAAATATACCACTAAATTCCTAATATATCAAACTTTTAATATATCATTTAATTCTTAACATATCAAATAATGATCCATTTATCGTTAAGATATAATATATTTCATATTTATAATATTGACATTTATCAAAATATCTATTTTAATT